GAGCGAGTTACAGAAAGAGGTAAGAAGAATGGCAAAATTATAGATAAGCCTTCCATCCACCTGCATCCTCCCAACCCCCCTTTACCTTAAGGCATAGAGACTGGGTGATGTGTGGAATTCCCTAGTATGCTCAGCTTTTCCCTTTGCTTAGGCTTGGCCTGCATGAGGTCCTTTGGTTTATATAATTACAGCCTGTTTGTCTTCAAATATTTGATTCATTTAAAGAGAGGTACTTGGGTTCCTTTTGTGCAGTGTCAACCATGGTTTAATGAAGGCTGCATTTCCAAAAACAATCATGTAAAATTACGGTATTGTATCAGTTAGGGTTCAGTGGAAGAACAGAGTTTTACAAAGGATTTGTAAAGTAAGCTTAGAACAGCCACCTGCAATGTCAGAGGAGGAAGAATACAAAATGGCTATCTGCCTGCCGAAATGCCAGAGGATGTAGTCAAAGTCCAAACCCAAAGCTCACTGCAGAGTCTGGTGTGAGTCTGCATAGAAAAGCTGAAGGATCTGTGTTAGAAGGCTGAAGAGTCTGCCAGAAGGAACTGCAGACAAATGTCCAGAGGTAATGGGGAAGAACAGAGTTCCTCCAAAAAAAGCAAAGAGTGGAAACTTCTTTCTTTCCCTTTTTATCCATCCAGGCTACAAACCTATTGGTTGGTGCCACCCCCGTCCAGGGTAGGTCATCCACCTCCAGTTCACAGCTTACAAGTTCACTGTCTAGACACACCCAGAACTGTGCTCCTCTAATGTGCTAGGCATTTATTAATCGATTCTACTTGACACAATTAACTATCACAATCAACTCTTTGTCACGAACAGACATATTTCCTTTAATCAGACTTAGTATCCAAATAAAATAGCAAATTCATTATTATGCCTAACATGACACAGCTATTCTGTATACAAACAGAAGCACACTAATTCCCTCTCCAGAATAGAAGGCAATTTTTCTTTGGATGATGCTTACACATCTTCTAACATTCATAATGTAAACATTATAGTATAGATTAAGCAATACTTAAGAACCAATATTACATCTGTCAACATTATGCAGCCACGGCAGACTACAAACATGTTTGATGCATGTGTATACACACATAAGCATATTAACAAAATAGGAAAGAATAATTATAATTTCAGTCCTTGTTTCTGTGACTGGTAATGTGGTCATGGTCCACATTTATAACTACAGTACTTTTTTCTACTACTCATTCTCTAGTCCCTTAGCCTTTAGCAATTACATAAGCAGGTTTTGGATTTTTCCATACCTCTATTTCTGAAGGTTCTAGGTCATTGTCATCCTGCCTGGATTATGTTGCTGTAGTTTAATAGCTTTAGTAAAGGGGAATGTTAGCTGGGCATAGTGGTGCACACTATAATCCCAGCACTCAGGAGGCTGAGCCAGGAATATTGCTGTGAGTTGGAGGCTATCCTCGAATACATAGAAAGACCCCATGTCAGAAAACAAAGCAAAGCAAAACAAAAATAACAGGTTTAGAATACTAGGAGACACCCCAAGGGATCTTCTGCACTCCAAATGTATTCTCCTTTCTTCCATTGTGAAGTAATAGTCTGATTTTCCCTGGTAGTCTGGATCAAGCAACAAACACAACGACAAACACAATTGCCTTTTTAGCTTGTTTACTCAAGAGGCATGAAGAGATCAAAATGATCACAGGGAAGTCCTAACTTCTGGTTCAGTAGTCACTGTGCTTCCTGGCACAAGCCCTACCCTCTCTGGAACTAAGACTTCTAGGTGAGCAGAGCATAAGGGCATAGAAACAGGAAGCAAACATTTGCTAAGTGGGTCACCAGGAGTAATGGTGAGTGGTACCATTTCTATTCCGTTACTTGATTCCTGGACCCATGAATCCTGGCTATGGGAGAAACAGTACTATGTAGTGGATCCTATTTAAAGCAAATAAAGCCCTTTGGAGAACCTTACCCCACCCATGCAAGCTATCATCCCACATCGCTAGTACTGTAACGGCATCTTCAAAGGCAATTTTACCTTTTTAACACTCTAGTTGGTCCCAGTGAATTCTATACACACGAATCCATTGCCTCACTTTTCTGGCCATATAAAATGTGTTCCTTAGTCAGAAACTATGCTGTACGGAATACCATAACAATGGATAAGGCATTCTATAGGTCCACAAATGGTAGTTTTGGCAGAAGCATTATGTGCAGGGAAGGCAAATACCTGGAATAAGTGTCTATATCAATTAGGACAAAGTACTGCCCTTTCCATGGTGAAAGCAGTCCAATATATCAACATAGTAAACCTGCCACCAGGTTGTAGGCTGATTTCCTCAGAGAATGCTGACACTTCAGGGACTCAGTGTTGGTCTCTGCTGCTGATATACTGGGCATTCAGCTGTGATTATAGCAGATCAGCCTCAGAGAGTGGAAACCCATGTTGCTGAGCCCATACATAACCTCCATCCCTGCACCAAGGCCACATTGTTCATGAGTCCATTCAGCAATGACAGGGTGACTGAAGAAAGTTTCACTGCTATCCACAGAATGAGTCATCTTTTCCACTTAAAGTCCTCTTCTGCTGGGGTCAATTTTTGGTGAACTCTCACATGGGACACAACTTTCTGCACAGCCTTTGATCATAGGGAGAAGTCTAGCCACATACCTCTTCTCCGAATATCTTTGTCACCAATTTTCCAGCCATGTTTCTCCCAAGCCCCTGACTATCTGGCCAGACCGTTGGACATAGCCCACAAATCAGCATGTTGTTGTACAACTGGCCATCTTTTTCTGAGAGAAATGTATGGCTAGGTGTACTGCCCAAAGTTCTGCCACTGTGAAGAGTTCTCTTCAACATTGTCCTTCAGGGCTGTTCCAGAAAGGAGCTGTAGAGCTACAGCTATCCATTTTTAGGTGGTGCCTAAATAATGCACAGAGCAATCTATAAACCAAGCCCCAGTCTTTTCCTCCTCTGTCAGTTGATCATACATTACACCCCATGAAGCCATAGGTTCCTGTTGAGGGACAGAAGGCAATATAGCAGGAGTAGGGGCCGTGGACATTTGGGAAACTTCATGTGACTTGCTTCTGCTTTCCAGACCTTCTTGGTCTCAGTCACATATATATCACTTTTGCTTAATGATGGATTGTTGCTGTGCATATGTAACATTATGACTTGGTGAGTCAGAGGGTACCAGTTTATGACAGTCACCTCAGGTCTCATGGTAAGCTGGTGTCCCACAGTCAGTCCTTCAATTTCCACTAAAGCCCAGTAGCAGCCAGGAGCTGCTTTCCAAAGGGAGAGTAGTTGTCTGCAAATGACTACAAAGTTTTGCTCCAAAATCCTAAGGGGCTCTGCTGTGATTCACATATGGGACCAAGCAGAAGCTCCAAACAGCCGCCCTATCTGCTGACACCTACTGAAACCTCAAGTACCAATTGGTCTGCTGGATCATATGGCCTCAGTGGAAGGGAAGCCTGCAAAGGAGCCTGGGCCTGTTCTAGAACCTTCTCTTTTTCTGGGCCCCACTCAAAAACTGACAAAGAAGTGAAGCATGCTAAGTGTTTTGAATAGCCAACAAGAGAAATTCCACTCAAAACAGTCCAAGGACTTTTCTTTGCTATAGATTAGAGCAATATCACTCAAGCAAATAAAGCTGAAGATTCTGGCCCTTATACTAGAGTCAAAATTGCTAGAATTTTGTTCATTAACTTTTCTTTCACAATCACTCAGGAGTGAATGACATGTTGTATCAAGTATTCTATATCTAAATGAAGGTTAGTTGGTCCTTCATCTATTTCTCAGTAAGAGTTACATGTATATCTTGTAGTAACCATCAATCATAATTGTTTCATCATGTGCATCTATTTCCAAATAGACTGGGAGAATCATAAGGTGAATGTTGTAGGCTGAATTGTGTCTCTGTACCCCACATTCATAAGAGGAAATCCTGACCCCCAGTGCCTAAGGATACAATTGCCTTTGGGGATAGGGTCTTTGAAGAGGTGATGAAGGTTGAATGACATCATTGGGGTGACCCTCAATCCAATGTAAATGATGTCCTTCCAAGAGAAGAAAATAAGGATATACACAATGCATCAAAGGACTATGTGAAGACAAAGCAAGTAGATGGTAATCTTCAAGCCAAGGAGAGATGCCACAGACACAGCTAACCCAACAACACCTTGATCTGTAGCCTCTAGCACAAGGAGAAAATGCTTTTTGTTGAAGTCACCCACTCTATGGTAGTTTATTATGGAAGCCTTAGTAGACTAATACAGTCAGGAATTAAATTTTATTCATGTTTTTATCCCTTTTCAGGATCTCATTTGATATTTGATACATAGTCTCCTCAATAGGTGTTTGCTGAATGAGTTATTTAATTAAATTGTTTTATTTAAAAATGTAAGCTCAGTCCTTTGTCATAATTTGCCTCAGGAGGCTTGCTACTTGCGTACGTATAGGTTTCCTATAACACACAAGGCAATAAGATAAAGGCTCAATTAGAAGATAGAGACTAGGACATTCAGTAGGGAGCCAGTACAGGAACAGAGATAAGGTATTTATCACTCAAAGAGGACATCTTATGCTGCAGTAAAAAAAGAAGCCCAAAATATCTATAGTTTGCAATGTTTTGCATCATTTCTCACTCGTTCTTTGTAATGGCCAGCTTTTCTATTTTAGGTAGAAAATAACCAACACCCACAGCTTAAAAGGAGGAGAGGCTTGATTTGGCTCATGGTTTCGGAGGGTTCAGTGTATGATCAGCTGGCTCCAAAGCAAGGAACATTAATGGCGAGGAGTGTGGCAGAGCAAAGCTGCCCAGTTCATGTTGGTTGGGAAGCAAAGCATAGGAGAAAAGCACCAACAAGAGATTTACCCTCCAAAGGCATGCCTCCCCCATGACCACCACCACCTGGGTCCCCTTCCTAACTCCACATTCACCTATGAACATCAATGGGTTAATCCACTGGTGACCATAGAGCCTGCACGATCCACTCACCTATCTGTGCGTCTCTTTATCCAGGCAAGTTGGCAAGTTTAATGGTTACATTCTTTCTGGGCATTCTAGGTTACCATGGCATCCAGGCTGGCAAAGCAGCCTGTGTGTGTTCTCTTGGAAGCAGAAGATAAAGGGAACTGGTGAGCTAGGGGTTGGTTATCAAAATCTTTTTCTAAGATGATGTCATTTCTGCCCTCATTTAATTGATTAAGCCAGTCACATGGCCACTCTTGAATTTATCATGAATGAAACTTATCCTTTTTCCGCAGTAAGAGTCATCACAGGAAAAGATTAGATGAGAACAGAATGTGTGCTTCTAGCCACCACAGGCTTCGTTTCATTTTTTATTTGCCCTTTTCCTTCATTTTTTCTCCCTCCTGTTTGTTTGTTTTTTTAAGCTGGCATTTCAGAAGTGAAAAACTGACCATGTAGATCCGTCTCCAAGGAGTGAATCTCTAACAAGACTATTTTGATTCTTTATTTCTGATTCTTCATCGGTTTGGAAAAGTAGAATGGATTTAGGGATGGGGGAGGCTCCAAGTATGCAACTGAGAAACACAAAAGAAGAAACACAAAGAAAAAATAGAACAAAACTTGGCAATGCAATCCTGCCATCCAGACAAAATGGGTCCACACTGCAGATTTATTATTCCATAACCTTCTTTGTGAGCCACATGTATACACTGTGCCATGGCTGGGAATCCTTCCCAGTCCAGCCTCATCTTCCCTTGGGCTATGTTCAGTGTATTCTCCCACTTATTGAGGAAGATGTTTTTCTATCTGTGATATACCCGATATATGGATTCCATATGCAAAGGAGTATTCACTGCCTGTTTTTTTATTGACTTGTAACTTGGAAAAAGGATGCTGAGGCAGGTAACCAAGAAAGGATTGAGCTTACAAAGGTGGACTTAGCTTCCTGCTGAAAGGAGCTAAGGAAATGTGCCTGTATCTGTCCTTCCTTCTCAGATTTTGACATCTTCCTAGACCCTCCTTTGCTGCTGTTATTTTAAATGTGTTCCAAGTAGGAAGATGGGAACAGGAATGATTTCCTGGTGCATCAGGCAATGGCAACAATCCTTTTGGAAAATCAATATCGATGATATTGTCAACTGTTGTTTTAGCCAGCATTTAGGAGAGAATGAGAACTGAGTGAACCGTCAACAGGTTCTCATGTTTCATATATTACACCTTACACGGTAAGGGAGTCCTATTTCTGCAGCTGGTTTGTTATTTTGCATTCAGGGCACTTAATTCATATAATTTCTGTTCTGAATACTCAAAAGTGTTTTATGGCCTAGAACGAGATTTGGAATAAACAAAAACAAAGTATTTTAAATAATTTGTCTGAATTCTGAATTTTGCACAGTGATTAGAAAAGCTATCATTAAAGACTAGGTCTTTTGTGCATTAAGACTGTATTCTTGGGTTACTCGATATAGATGACCTCATCCTTTATTCTTGCATGCCGTGGAAAAGGTTTTCAGAATCTTCTTTCTGCAATATCCATTGTAGACACACAATGTGCTATCGATACTATGTTTGGTCACACTAAAGGAATTTATATTGCAAGAAATTTCCTGTTTTACATTTAACATAAATTGCAAAATGTCCTCTTCTCCTCTACCATTAAGAGAATATTGACTCAAACCTTCTGTAATTACTGGGTACTGTTTGATTTATAGGTTATACTCAGAAATGACAATTTGGGTTCCAATTACTCTAAAACAAAATAGTAGACTCAGAATTGTTTAATAAATATAAAGTCTGTCTATGCAAACATTAATCTAAACTTGTATCAAAAGCTGTTGTATAAATGAATTCGATTCCTTGATTGAAAACTTTGTAGATGCTCTGGAAATTTACTTTGGACAACTCCAGTTGGCCCTCCAGCCTCGGTGACATGGCACAACCTAATTTCTCCTACCAGCCACTGAGTGTCCGTAAACATGGCCTCACTATCTGAATGCAGCTGAATGCACAATCTTACTCCACTGAGCCTTTGGGGCTCTGTATTTCCCCTCCTCTAATACTCCCTCAACTGTAGCAATAATACCACCACCCTTTAAAATGCTCTGCAGCTCCCAGCACAGTGTCTGCAACAAAATTGCTTGACCGCTTTGAAGAAGAGGGCCACGTTTCGAAGTTCACTGGCAGGCCTGGCGTCCAGCCTAGTGAGGGTCCAAAGTTGGCACCGAGGAAGCGTTGGATGAGTAAGGTGAATCACAGAAAACAGAGGCAGACGTTCTGCTTGCCCTTTTCACAACACTGGGAGAAAAGACCTGGAGATCTATTTTAAAACTGTGTGGTCTCTTTAAAAAGAATCCTTGCCATCCCGGAAGGTTAGCCCTGTCGCTCAGCACAGAGCCGAGTGATCATATCAATATTAATAAGCCAGCTTCAGTGCAGTGCTGACACTCTGCAACCTGACTAATAAAATAAAAACTAATTCTAAAAATAATTTACCTCCTGGAGACCTTAAAATGGATTTTCCTAATGAAGGAAAAAAAAACTGGCAAAAAAGATCTTTCCATTTTGATCAGTGAATCCGATGTTATACCAAGCTGTAAGTCTAAAATGACATATTCTAAACTGCAAATGTCTTGTTTCAGAGGACATTTTGCATATTTTTCATCCAAGTTTACAATTTGAGCCATTTTAGCAGCCAGTTAATGATGGAAGGATGAGAGGGAGGAAAATGAAGAAAGCCAAAAGAATCAGGCTTTGTTTTTATTTAATCCTTTTTAGCTACTTTAGCTTCAAGCTATTTTCCAATTAGCAGACAGCTATATAGAAGATGGTAGAATGGCATATGTGTGACAAAAATACGGGGCCCTTAACAAGTATGAAGATAGCAACTTTGATTTGTAAATTCTCTCGACATTCAAATAAAATCAGAATAACCTGCTTCTGAGTGAACAGGTAGGGAAGGAAAGGGGGCTGGCAACCAGGCCAAGAAATACATCTTCAGAGGCATAGGCTGTTTTCAATTCCTTGATTGTTCAGAGGTTGGGTGGTGAGGGATGAGG